TTACAAATGGGGAAACTGAGACTCAGAAAGAAGTCACTTGCTTGAGGATATATAGCTGGAAAGTGGCTGAAATTCCTCACTGTCTGATTCTGTGCTCTTTCTATACCACCATCTGCTTCTCCAGCCTCATCCCTCACTATTCCCCAACTCAAACTGTAACTTCTGGCATAACTGACTGCCTGCAATTCCTTGAATGAGCCACGTTCTCTCCTGTGCACTCCTTTGCCTGGGACACGTTTAGCTGTAGCTTCTGTCTGGTTAATTCTTAATTCTTCCTCATCCTTCCCCTGGGAGGCTTTCTTGAAAGGATGCTCTCCGATGGGGTAGGTTGACCTTCTCTGTGCTCTCGCAGCCCTCTTTGCAGCCCTCTGTCATAGGACACATCACAGGCATTTAGAAGCCTATTTATGTGTGTGTCTCTCCACTAGATGGTGAGAGGTCCAAGGGCAGGGACTGTCTTCCTAATAAGAGCTGCCATTTGTATTGGGCATAGTTGTTATCTTGTTTAATTCTCACAACCACTCCCAGGAGGGTGTTATTATGACTGTTTTATAGATGAAAAAAAAAAAAAGGAGGCTCAGAGAGGTTAAACAACTTTCCCAAGGTCACAATGAGTAAGTGGCTAAGCCAGGAATTCAACATAGGTACATGTGATTCCAAGGCCTAGATTCTTTTCCTTGTGTTACCATCAGAACCATCCACAGGGCTCACAGCTTAGCTGTTGGGATAAACAGATAAATACCACCTGAACAATGAGATTAGTGAGCTAATCCAGGTTTATACAAAGTTGTTGGGAGGAAACATCTGGATGGGAAGAATTTGTTCTCTCTGGGAGAGGTGGTGTTGGAAAGGCTTCATAAAGTTGCCAGAATGCTTGAGAACTTGTAAACTTAAGGTGGAAAATCCATCCCTGCATCAAATACGGGTGGTTAGTTTTGGGTGCCATGGCAGCCATCGCCTGGGTCACCACTGCCTCCAAATGAGTCCATCTGGGTGCCAGGAATGTAGCCCAAACGCCTGTGGGTACCTGCCTCGTTGATGGCTGGTAACCAGGCAACCCAGTTAGCACACTGTTTCATTAAAATCACGTTTGTGTGTGTGTGTGTGTGTGTGAAAACGACTTTATATAGTCAGTTCTAACCTTACACACTCTCCTTTAAACTTAAATAAAATCAATACATTTGCAAGCCTGTGGCTCTGTGGAGTAGGATGGTGCTCCTAATTATGTGCTAACTTCTCTGCCTGCTCTTGTCTCCACTGCAGGCATCCCCGGAGGCTGCTTTCTCTCTCTCCTCTCCTTCAGGGAATTAATTCATCTATTTCTCGGCTTGAACCACTGTAAAATTCCTATAAAATTAAACTTAAAACTACAGGCAAAAAGCACAGCTTTAAAAGGTATGGTACAATACCTTCCTTGTCTGCTGCAGAGGGCACAGTGGGTGGCCGGGCTCTGGCACCAGGCAATTAGGAGGCTTCTAAACTGCTTCATTTCCTAGCTGTGTGGCCTTGGGCAAGTTACGTAGCCTCCTTATGCCCGCATTCCTGATCTATAAACGGGTGAACAGAATCGTATCCTAGTAAAAGGACTATGGTGAGGACTAATGAGATAAGGCACAAGGGGCTTAGTGACTGGTTTGTTAGAAGTTACCAATTAGTGCAAGATGTAAACAATAATTGTTGTCCCTCTTATCACTGGCAGGAAGAAGCAATTTGGGTGACAGTGATTTGAAACCTATGAAGTACTATGAAAATGTGAAATTTTATTACTGCATATAGTGTTGGGTGAAATCTAAAGAGCTCAGTAGAAAGAGAAGCGAACAAGAAATCAGGAAAGGCAGCTCCTAATGCTCCTTTGGCCACCTATCTGCAGTGTGACCTTAGGACATTCTCTCTGAGCCTCCTGCTTTCTCACATGTAAATGACGCACTTTGATTAGATTGCCTTGAAGCTCCATCCCAGCTCTGAAATTCTATATTCCACAGTGTCATCAGAGCAAATAAGTTATGTGACAAATCTTACATGGTTCTTAGAATAAACTAGATGGTTAATATGGTACCACATATACCGATGGCCAAAGTCCATCTCTGAAGTGGAGAAAAGTTAATCCCAACTCCAGCAATCAGGAAGAGTAATCTGGGGGGATTCAATGAAAAGGCAACTACAACACACCTCGTCTTTTCGGTAGAAGATGACAACTTATCCGGATAATGGCAATATTGAACTAGTCAGAAAATAGATCAGATGATGCCCCGGCAGCTGTATACTTAGGCAGGAAATGCGAGCCCCCTTAACATTTTTTTTGGATGTGTCTTTGGATAGTAACGTGCTGGCAGCTCTCCCAAACAGCTTGTGGGGCTCTTTGCTTTCTCCCTTCCTAACGTATGGAGAACCTGCTGTGTGCTAGCTGTGCTGGTACCCTGGGCTACAGACACAGCCTCTGTTCTCAAGGAGCTGACAGACTATTGGCTAGAGCATTTTAACTGCAGGGGATACTTCTACATCTTCAGCGTAGTCCTGTGTGGTGCTTATATTGTTTGTACTATTATTCTGTGAAAACATAGCTGTTTGTGTGTTCTCCCTCAGCCCTCCAGCGGCTTCTGGATGTTAAATATTAGCACCTCGTGTATGTTGTACCAGAAGGAAGAATCATCTGTTACTCTTTCACTTCCTAATGAGCCCTCAAACTAGTCTGCAGGCCAGTGAAAGATTCTTTTTCTTTCCAGAGGACTGATGAGTTCACATTTAGCTGCTTGGTCTTATTCTCCCCCAGGACTCAAAGTTTACTCTTCTTGTCCGCTTTCCTCCCTTACCGCCACATGAACCAACATAACCAGAAACGATAACAAAAAGAAGACAGCGTGGTGTTGGCAGCATGTTGATGGATAAGACAAATATTTCTTTTGCTACTATAGCAACTACTATTAAACGCCTTATCACTTACCTTTGAAGCTCTTTGGAAAAGTGAAAGCTATTTTGCATATAGGTGCTTAAAATCACCTCAATTACCTAAGATACTTTCATCTCCCTCCAAGATTCTTCTTATAGGGATTTCTGCTATTTTTTTCAGATATTGCTATAAATGAAGAATGAAGTATTGATAGATTTCTCCAAAACGCACTGATTTTCATATTCCCCGAGAATGACAAGGATATTATGAAAGTGACAGTGGAAACATTTCTATAAAAATACTTACTCAAAAAAAAAAACCCAACCTGATGTTTAAAGATACTTCCAATTATCTGGAAAATCGATACTAGATAATTGAGTGCTCATTCAACACTTTAGTAGATAAGCATGTATTAAGCGCCTAAAAGTGTTGCATTATGCAAAGTACTACAAACATAAAAGAGATTTAGAAATGGTTGCTGCTTTCAAGGAGATCAATTAAAAGTCGATAGCTTTGTCTCATATCAATACTTAATATCTTACAGAACATTTTCCATACGTAACAATTCATTGCATCCCCAGATCAGCCCTGGTTTCACACTTCATAAACTTGAGATTTCTTGTTGCTCACTGTTACTGGGCAAGCAGAATGTTCATTTTGATAATATTTGTATGTCTCCATTATTCCTGGTTTAGAATAATTTACAAATTGTCTCATTGGAAATTCAAGTTTTTCCACCTTCTCACCTTTAAGTCCTTGTTCCTCTTCTGTGGAGATTCCCCCTGAGGGAGGCGGGCCTAAAATGACTTCAAATTCCCTGTGACTGCCCTTAAGATCACAGTGGATCTCTACTACATACCTGAGGTGGGAAACTGGTTTTTGAATTCCTTTCCCACCAAAGCCTTTAGGCCATAATCTCAGAAATGCATTCCTACTTCATTTTTTCTTTATTCCATTCCTGATCATTCCTTCTGTTATTCTATGCTATCTTGGACTACGGTTTCCATCAAAAAATAGAAACAGAATTTAGCAATCTAGAGACTCTGCCCAATGCCTTCACTTTATGGGGGAGGAACCAACTCCACAGCCAGGAGGATTGTCAAAGCCACACAAATAGGTGGCAGAGCTGGGCTTGCAACTCAGAGACTGCATACTCTTTGCCCAGATGTAAGACATCATACTGTCTTTAAAAGCTACCTGTCAAATGAAACATTCTTCCCAAGATAGCATTCTCTTACATTGCTAGTGTATGAATATCTGGCTGCTGTTGCAACAGAGATCTACCCAGTTTCATAACACTTCACAGATTATAGTGTCATGTTCTCAGTTTTTCCATAGTGTACCTGTTCACCTCGGTACATCATTGAATCAATTGTTGAGCTTCTACTGTGTGCCAGGCATAATATAGGTGTCAGGAACAGGAAAACTACCAGGTCTGGGGCTGACTTTAATTGGAAGTTTTCTTTGAATTTGTGTAGGATCATTTAACATTGGATTACTAGTAACTGTACAGTTTTAGTACAAATGCTCCTGTAAGTGGGAGAAAATGACTAACAAGCATTGAATCCTAATAAGATGTTGAAGGCAGACATCAAAGTTTTTAAGCATTTAGGATTCCTCACATCCAGAAGACCCCCCGCTCCTAGCTATTTATTTATACATTTGTTTTACTGAAGAATAGTTGATTTACACGGTTATGTTAGTTTCAAGTGTACAGCAGAGATTCGATATTTTTATATATTACACACCATTTAAAGTTATAAAATATTGGCGGTCTTCCCTGTGCTGTACATTACCTTCTTGGGTGTGATTTATTTTATACCTAGTAGTTTGTACCCCTTAATCCCCTTCCCCTATTTTACTCCTCCCTGCCTCGCCCTCTCCACTGTTAACCACTAGTTTGTTCTCTGTACAAGAACCACCAAGTGTGGTTTCAAAGTCTCCCGAATTTGCTACAAAAAGGCCCAAAGGTTAATCGTCGGGGACTCTCTTTTTCACCTGTTTTTCTCCACCCCCACGCCCCGTACCCCCGAGGCGGGCTCCAGGTCCAGCGGCGCCCGGGAGAAGCGCAGCGCCCGGCTGGTG